CTCGGCGTCCCCGACCAATACACACTTCCTTCCCTGTCCATCCATATAACCCCGGAGGGCCAGGCACCATGTAAAAGCAAAGAGCTAAGGGAGGAACAGGGCGGCCCCTAAACCTGATCCTCCGAGTGGACCAATGCCCTGAACCTGTACGAAGGCGCCAACCTGGAACTCGCGGACAGTACCAGCAGCAGTGCTTACCGGTTAAGCTAAGGTACTGTTGGTAATTTACGACGGGAAATTAAACATCTTATATAATGACTGAACGAGTGCGATTAAAACCAAAACTACACCGACGGGATTCGAACCCGTGCCCCGCGCGATTCGTGGACGGCGAATCTAACCACTAGGCCATTCGGCTTTCTTAGAGTTCTTCTCAAAAATAATATAATTGTGATAGATGTACATTTTTTGTGTGCGTCAGAACATGGGTGGGGGGGGGGGTCAAACCTCCCTTAGGGGTTCCGCGCCTGACTTCTACTCTTTGTATTTGGACAGACACAGATTCTCAACTCCCCTACTACTATTTTAAAATCGTACGGACGTCTTTAAAAAGAAAATGATTTTTTTTTACGGATTTGTTTGTTAACACTGTTTATCAGGCCTATATGCATATTCCATTCGCTGTTCCAAACAGTCCTTCGTCAGCCTGTTATCAAACATTATTTTCGTAAAAAATAATATGAACTAGTTTTATAATCCTTAATTTCGAAAAAAAAAAAAAACACCGACTATTAAAATGTACACCAGGACATGCACCGCATTATACTAGGGGCGCTGTTCATGACAACGATGTGCATAGCGCTTCGCTCGTACCCCCGCCCTGCAGCTAGGGCCCAGGACGCTGGGCCGGGAAGGGCTGGCGAGCTTCACAGGATCTTGTAAAGGACGGTGGGGATGGTATTCTGGGTAACTTATCATGGCCTATATCTAAAGACATAATTAAAGCTTCTGTATAGCTGTTTAAAAGGGTGCAGGCTAGTCAGGATCCCCAGACCCCATTGTCCTTTGGACTTCAAAAAATATATTTAGGTGCATCATGGGCCGGGAAAGGTGCAGCAGGCCAGTAAATCGGTCCGAAATTGCTGAGTCCATCCAAATCACGATTTGCATGCCCTCAAATTGTTCAGTATTTGAGCAAATTGTAGGCCATGAAGTTGAGGGTTCGTGAACAATAAGGTTGGAAGCCGTACACAGGACAGAGAGTTTGTATTATTTTCTGTGCAACTTTTTGGATGAAATTGGGGCCCTAATAGCGCTCTTTTTTGCAATGGAATGTAGGCACCGTTTTTCCAAAATGGCGATGGACTTCAGGACTATTTCAAGGGGTGATCATATTCGGATGAAAGTTTCTCCCAAAAGTCATCAGAATACTCCCAAAAAGTGAAAAGAAAAAGGAAGGTGATAAAATAAGCTTTAGTTTTGATGTGTGTCTCGAACACCTTGGAAAGTAAATTGTGAGTATTTTCCCTAACTTTCTGAAGGGGGGGGGGGGGGGTATTTATCATTGGGGTCTATGGCAGTTTATTGCAGGCCCTATAGGGGTGCAGACCAGTAAATCGGTCCTAAATTGCCTACGCCGGTGTAGCGTGAATTTAGGTTGCTATGAAAATCGGACTCATTGGTAATACTGCGCATGCGTAAGTATGATAATTAGGAAAGTGACCGGTCACGTGAGAGGGATTAACCAATAAAAGGGAAAAGGGGTCCGATTTTCATAGGAGTCGGATTTTCATGTGACACCGGCCAAATCACGATTTGCATGCCCTCAAAATCTTCAGTATTTGAGCATGCTGTGGGCCATGAACTTGAGGGTTTGTAAAAAAATATGGGTGGAAGCCGTGCACAGGACTGGGAGCTTGCAGTTCTGTGTAATTTGGATGTAATTTGGACCCTAACAGCGATCTATTTTGCAATGGAGTGTAGGCATCGTTTTTCAAAATGGCGACGGGCTTCAGGACTATCTCAGGGGTGATCATCTTCAGATGGAAATTTCTCCTAAAAGTCATCAGTTGACCCCCCGAAAATTGAAGAGAAAATGAAAGATGATGAAATAAGCTTTAATTTGATGTGTGTCTCGAACACGTTGGAGAGTTGCGAGTATTTTTCCCGAATTTTTGAAGTGGGAGTATTTACCATTGGGGTCTATGGAAGTTTATTTACTGGTCTGCTACCCTAAACCTTTCTTTGCTGCGCCAACCAGTGGTTGGCACATTGTGGATGGTCAATGATGCAAATGTCAAGAAAGTTTGTTAATGTTCCCCAGCACATTATTGAAAATAAAACATGACCAACAAACGCTACCAATGTCATAATATAACTGCCTCTGTTTACAGTCATAAGGGGGGTGTTAATGCGCACATTTGGGCTAACTCTGTGTTGCCGTCCACGGTTTTAATTTATGCCATTGTGACAGCCCATACAAAATTTATGACGCTCAATGTTTAAAAACAAAATAAAGGTCTATAAGAGACCGTGGGGACTCATGGGAGGTGTTTTCTGTCCCCACATCTCTGCGTAGTCCGAGGATCGGACGTTCACGTGGTATGCAAAGCCACACTGCGCGAACGTCTGGCAAATAGAAATCGATAAAGATGTCGAGTAAGCAATTGTCTTGAAATTACATGTAGTTTCAACTACATTTGCCAATTCAAATTAGCGGCCGTTTATTGCATGTCTCGATTTGGACTGCCATTTAGCACATTTCAGATTTTTTTTTGTCGCAAAGGAACTCGAGCGATCTACTAGTTTATAGTATTTCTTTATTTCTTTCAAAGTGACAGTAAAAATTGGGTGGGTTTTTTTAAGGACCATAGAATAATATTAATTGTTGAAACTTCTCAAATTGATACTTTGACACATTGGTGATTTTTCTCACCCAAAGTTTTTTTTAATTAAAGTGAAAAAGAAATAATTCAAACATTACCAAAAAATAACGCGTTCTTTTTTATAAACAGCTTTATTTTTTATACATCTCTGTTTAAAAATAAATGTAACAAAGTTTGAATGTTATATATCTGTTAAAATCAATTAAAAAAAGAGTAGATTTGGCAAACAAGATTGAATGCGGAATACACGATTGCAAGAAAGGAGACAGGCCGAATATTTCAATCAAATAAAAAAAAAGATAGTAAGGCCAAAAACAAAAATAAGTCGGTCTCTGGTCAGCGCGCGCGTCGATTTTAATCATGCGCTTCAAGCTTCTTTTTTTTCCAAAATGTTCCGCGGTAGCTCCAACAGCGCCCTCTATTTCCGCACCTCCTCATTTTTTTTTTAACCAAAGAGCACCAAGGAATGGGAAATTGTACCAAGGCAAATGATCGAAAGCACCAAGGCAAATTATGGAGGACACCAATGTATATGAGGACACCAAAAAATCAAAATAGTACCCACCTGTACAATCCAAGCTTGAAGCAAAAAAAAAACGCGTGGCCGCGTCAATTCAGGAACTTTGGTCTGACCAGAGACCGAATTTTTTTTGGGGGGGGGGCCTAATGCTAGAAAAAAAAACATGTAAAAACACTGTATTCTAGCTGCATATGCGCTTCTAATTACAGCTCAACATTTTACATGCAATGATTAGTACAGACATGTCAGGTACTTAATAAACACAAGATGTGTCTGCAAGACGACTTTGAATAGAAACAAAAATTGTATGAGACATTATTATTTCATGGTCCATTTACAGGCATGTATTGTTTTATATACAGACATGATTAAGAAAAAAAAAGCAACTTTGTTCAAGGCAGTATACATAAAAATCCTTCGACATGAAGTACATGATTTTAAAAAAAATGGAAGATATTTTATTAATATCATTATGAATGAGAAAATGAACATGCCCCTCATCCTAAAAATGAAAGTGTGAGTGGAAAATTGAAATAGCGGTATACTTTTGAATTCCTGGCATTATCTTAGGTACAAATTTATCAAAAGAAACATTCTGGTCTTATTTACAGGCAGCAATCAGCGGATATTTTTACAAAGCACCTCGGACGGTTTTAGGCTTGGCATCTTCTTAAGAAAAGATACTCAGAGTTTTGGTTACAAATGTGCCAAAATATCCTTGAAGAGGTTGTGGAATGCTCGAAGACATTTCCGTCATTTTTCGGGTATATGTAGCCTAAGGTGTGATGAAATAAAAACCACTATTGTTTCTGTCATGAAATGAGTACAAAAGGTACTTTTGAGAGCTGTTTTTCAGGTCCAGTTTCGACCCGAACGTGCAACTGTGTAAAAGTCGTCGTTGCGGGCAGCAAACAAAACACAGTAAATCGTGACGTAATAAACAGGACTCGGGTATGCTACTTTGCTGCCCACAACGACGACTTTTACACAGTTGCACGTTCGGGTCGAAACTGGACCTGAAAAACAGCTCTCAAAAGTACCTTTTGTACTCATTTCATGACAGAAACAATAGTCGTTTTTATTTCATCACACCTTAGGCTACATATACCCGAAAAATGACAGAAATGTCTTCGAGCATTCCACAACCTCTTTAAAACTTAACACATACACAAGTTGCATGGAGACGCATAGGCCTATAGGATCGTTTGCATTTATCCCTACAAAAGCAATCCCCCAAATTATAATCAAAATTTTTAATCGGATCAAAGACTGTACAGCTACTAATCAACCTGTGTAATTGTTAAATCTAGCTTCCTGTGATTTAGAAGAGTCAGAAAATGGAAGTGATTTCAAACGATCTGTCAATTGACTGATTTTTGAAAAATAAAGAATGATACGGACAAAATCGTGTTTTGTGATCAAAAGGTTGTGCACGTTTTTTTATTCACTGTTTTCCCAAAAACAATTAGACAAGTTAGGTTTTTAAAGATTTCTTCTTTGGATTTGAGCGGAGTTATTATTGGAAGCGAACAAAATGAATGACATGCAAACGATCCGATATGCTTTGAAGTGCCCATCAAACCCCAAACAAAGAAAGACCTGCCGGTTATTAAGAATTTCTCAAAGCTAAAACCTTGCATTATTTCCTTTAATGACCAGATTCAAATACCAGTCAAGTTACACCACTCTGTTAGTAGTCCAAAACTTTAACTAATCACAAATGTAGAATTTTTTTTTTGTCTTTGGCATATTTCCTCAGGTGCTTTCTTTGTTTCACTGTCCCAGCGCTATATCTGCAGGTCGGATCTGTCGTTCCCCCTCCACGAGGAAGATCTGGCAAGCTTTCTTGAGGAGGAACACACCCATCTGTCTCCTCTTGCGAGCAGGCAGCGCGGTAGACGGGCCGTAGAAGTCCCCCTTCTTAATGTTTGTGAGCCGAGATAGACCTAGGAGAGGTAAACAAGTGACAAATTATATACAGTGGAACGCCGCTACAACGAACATCGTGGGATCCACAGAAAGTGTTCGTAATAACGATCGTTCGGTATAGCGATTTTGAACCGCCGGTACCCTCTTTAGACCGATAGTGAAGTCACTGAACTGGTATTTCTCACATCCCGCCGCCACACGAGGAGTTGTCACAAAACTTTAGCAATGGATGGTTTTCCCTTTTTATTCCTTGGGGAAATAATAGCCATCTATCACTCTTCAACATTCCAACATGATGTAACCATGGTTGGTTTGATGTTCGGGAATTAAAAGTGGCCCAAACAGTGTGTAATACATGCACCACCAGAAGGTATTTTTGTTAATCTGTTGACTTTTTCAACAACAACGTTTGGAAGCCGAAGACCGGGAGCCAAAGATGATGTTCGATATAGCCGAATGTTCTGTATAGCGATGTTCGGTATAGCGGCTTTCCACTGTATGAGTAATGCCCAAGTGAATGAAATTTATATTTTATTAATTTTTGCTTCATTCTTCTTGCTGACAATGAAAACCAAAGGCTTCTTCAAAAATGCAAATGCAGTTATATTCAAAACATTCAAATTCAACCTTAATAATTTAAGCCTTCCAATTTTTTTCGGGACACAACCTAAAGGAAAAAATTGGAACATCCCTCAATCTTCTCCATGGTCTCTAATTGTGACAAGATGCTTGCGTGTCTGACAGTGATACGCATCTGGAAATCTGTGTTATGGGCTCCGTGCACAAGTACGCCTTCAACGGCCAGAGAAGGAGAGTTGGAGGAGACCTAGACCGGTTCCCGGTCCATCCACTGCGTATTTTGAATGATCCAAAGTTATTGGGGACGGGGATTAGTCTCGGAGACCATCGCAAGATGAATGCGAATGCATTCGAGCGCCGACGACGCTAACACGATATTGTACAATATGCTGTGGCTAATAGCTTTTGCACATTCACGAAGTCGTGCGTACTTCGAGTGCGAACCAGTGCAGAACAGTACGCACACGCTGTGTGTACCGTCCAAGGGCCTCTCAAAAGTGGTAAAAAGTGCCCTCTTTTGTTGGTGCACTGAGCCCATAGGCAAGGCTTCAAGTCCATCACAAGACATCCAGTCCGAAGTCACAGCAACAAGCTATTCAACTGAACTGTAGCAGCTGCATTCATTTGACATGGTTCACTTTCTATTACTAGTGATTATTCTTGTGGCTGACTTATGATTGAGTTATGATTGACTTGCGATTGACATGATGGCCAACATGCTACTTATTCGTCTTTTCTGTCCAACTCTGAGGGGAGCGCACTGTAAATTTAATTTGGTTGTACCCTTTTCAATTATTTGTAATGAAAATTTGTCATAAAAAGCCTTATCCTGTCTTATAGTGATCCCTGTTGCCATATTTCCCAGGTTTGCAACATTCTTAGTGTTGATAGCATCGTGACTTTGGACTTTTGGCTTCCGACTTGTGCCCAGTGAACAAAGACACTGACAAATTGGGGAACCTCCAACATAGGGCTGGATAGCTCAGTTGGTAGAGCACCAGCGGCAACCTGATGGTCACAGGTTCAAACCCTGCTCAAGTTAATTTCTTTGTTTAACTCTTAAAAAGCTATATATGATGTGAAGCTTTGCATGGCGGATGAGATAAATTATAAAGTTTGCGGGTAACTCCATGTGGAAAGATATCTCTTCTTGGAAGTAGAGTGGTTCTGCAAAGAACCAGTTGGTTGCGTGTAGAACACGATGTTTCTTTTTAAAAAGCTACCAACTGTACATTGAATGAACTTTTTCCTTGGGTGACGGAAGATATTACATGTACCTGTGATATGAGACTTACCCATAGCGTCCACCATACAAGCTTCTCTAGTGTACGCCTCCACAGGGATGACACTCTGGAAACAGTGAAGTGATACCACACCAAGACCTGCTGCCCATATGTCTAGGATGTGACGAACCTTAGCACTCGGCTGAAAACAGGAAGTCATTTCATTTGAATTCAGTTCCATTCTATTAATGGTTTATTCATTGAAGGTACCGGAACAGTCCAACATTTGCAGCTATCCAAAAAGTGACAGACGTAATTATTGTTGAAAAGCTTACTTGTTTCAAGATACATGTAGTAATGGGACTAAACGCCCTGTGAAATTTTTCTTTCTGGCAAGCTGTCATTTTGAAGATATCAACGAAAGAGGACCTTTCCAGCGATCCCTTATAATTTTTTTTTTATTTTTTTCATTTTTTTTGGCAAAGCGCGCCAGCATTGACACGACGCATACGCACGCTATAATTCGTTGGTTCAGTGCGCGACATCGGGTAGCTGAAAAAAGTGGACCCCTAATTTATATACATGACCCAAATACGCCTCTTTTTTTCAATAAAAGGTTTCTGACTTTCTTTGTAGCAACAGCCATGGGTGGCTTATGTGGTTGGCCAATACCCTAAAAGCCACTGGCATCATGTGGCTGTGTCAAACCTACCTGTTTCTTGGCTGCTTTCCTCGGCGTTTGGCCCTTGACCTCATCAACCGGCTTCGTTGAGGACAGAGCTTCGTAAAAGTGAGCATAGGGACGACCTCGCTTCCCCTTCCCAATGTAAAATATGGCAGCCACAAACATCTGGAAACAAGACAGACAGGTGTTGGTTCATGAAATCAATTATCAGGGAGTGTCAACACTACAGGTACGAAGAGATACAGGGAAGTGCAGTTGAATTCTTGATTGGGAATTTCCCAATTTTTTTTCCCAAAAGGCTTTTTGCTCATCTCGTAATCAGCGATTCATGCCGTATAGTTTTGAATATTTAAAATGAACTTATGTATATATAGCTATATTTTGTGTAAATATCTCAAAAGTATTTGTTCGTAGTCTGTTCCACCAAGGCGCTTTTTCCTTTTGAACTTTACTTTCAAATTGCGGCAGTGTATGCAGGGCCCAACAGAAACCAGTTTAAAACTGTTTCAAGGCATATTTATAAATTAATGAATCACATGTAGCTGATTGAGAATATTCAATCTTTAAGTCCAGGTTTGGAGCATTTTAAGAAAACAGACAAACATATGCAACATTTTCAAGGCCAGTCCCGTGACTGGATTGAGGATTCCGTTGCTAACACACGTAGCAAAGTGTGTTTGCGGGCACCCTATTTTCAAACCACATTCAATGTTCGTTTTTTCCTGAATCATGCCATTTCAGGAGGAATGATTTCAAAGAATATTTCATACCATCCTCATCTTCACTTTGACCAAGGTTTCTGTCATTAAATTAGTAGATACTTTTCCTTGTCATTGCAAATGATCCTACGGGACATTAAAAAGCTTGTGACTTGACTTGGATGACTATCGATGGACTTGTGAGGACTTTGAGGGAATTTCTGAAGCCCAAAGTCATACTACAAAAGCTTCTGGCAAATTCCCAACTCCTAGATCTGTTGACAATTACCCGAAATGCCTCCAGGTGGGTGAGTTGTGTGTACCGGCCTGGCAAGTCTTTGGTGACTCGTGGGTCTAGTAACAAGTAATTGAAGGATGACTTGAGCGTTCCTTCCCGCCACTTGCGTGAGGGGTCGGGCGTCTGGAAGGGCGCCACCATCAGCTTCTCCTGCTGCGCCATCTGGTGCTCGGGTTCTGGTAGGCTGCCGGAGTTCAGATACTCCGCAAGCTCCCAACGGAATCCTTCCCAAAAATAATGAATTAATAAACAGTCACTTTATAAATATTTGTTCAGTTTGATATTCACAGTAATGTGTAGCATATTCGCTCGTACCCCCCGCCCTGCAAACAGGACGCTGGGATACTCTGATGAATTCACGCTCTGATTGGTTGGATTTTGCGTGACCAGTGACCTGCGCGTCATCAAGGTCATGACTCTGCAAGGTTTGAAACGGTCGTTTAAGACTGATTCATTACTCTTTTATTCCAGTTTAGAGATGGTTTTTTCTCGTTGAAAAGCGTAATAATGTAGGAAATTCTGTAAAACTTCTTCGTTGTAAATTTACAATTCCCGTCACTCGCTCAGGCTCCGTTTCGAATCACGAACGGTCTGATTGCAATATGCGATACTCAAAATTTTGTCCACATGGTCCGCAATGAAACAGAAAACACATCCGGTATGGAATGTGCGCAATTCTATGGGAAGTTTTCGGATAGCATTTGCGCACATTGTCTAACTACGGTCTTGAACAGCTGCAGCCAGATTCTTTAGGTCATAGGCCACTTCCTTCACAAGATTCTGTGAAGCTCATCAGAGTATCCCAGCGCCCTGTTTGCAGGGCGGGGGGTACGAGCGAATGTAGCATATTGCTTACGGGGTAAAAGAATGTACACATGTATGTGAGCAATTCCAGCGTTGTGTAATATCTGTGACGGAGCTTTTCAGAGCTCAGCGAATACACATGAAAATACCGGTACATTTCACAAATCTTATACATCCATTATTTAGCAATGGTCAAGGAGATTACAATGGTCAAGGATAATTTTCTGAAGCATTTTGATATCATGGTTAATTGGCTCTGTCACGGGTATTACACTTTCTTTCAGAATGCTGGAATTGCACAGTTGATCAAACGCTACCAAATTTTACAACTGTATACAAATGTCATGCATTATTTACATATGTACATGTTCATGCATGGGAATTGTCACTGTTGGGCTATACAGTGCACAAATGTACTTATGAAATTTCTGTCCTTTCTGTAATTTCAGTTGGTGTCTGAAGCTGAAGACATGTAAAATTTTGACAATGCTGAAAATGCAAAGATCTACTTGTTCGTGAAGGTACTGATGTTCTGTAAGACCTCTAGACAAGAACGATTTGTGTATCTCACCTTGAAATGTCTGTTGTCTACTCGCAGCCCTCCTAGCAAAATCTGGATCTTTCTGGAGTTTGTTCAAATGATGCAAGTACACCATACGTGTGGTGGCCGTGATGGGACCTGCCTCCTCCCCGTACTTTCGCATCATCTCACGGATCCCTTTGTTGGTCAATTCAAGCAGCTCCTTGGGCGGCGGTGCCGGTGGAGACGAGTCACACTCCTCATCTGTTTGGTAGTCTCGCCAGTCATACAGGACGGTATCGTCAATCGTTGAAATGTGACTGTAGTTTAGGCAAGATAGGTCCTGGCAGCTGCTGCTTGTACCCAGAGCTGATGGGCACTGCCGCTCAATTAGCATGGCTCCGGTGTTTTCGTCGTGGTACAGGTACTCAACCGAGTCATGTTCAGTGTCAGAGTCGGCCTCACTGCAATCTGTAAAGTGCGATTCATGTGTTGTGGAATGATCCTCCGTTAATCTTGAAGGTGGACGACCGGATGAGAACCGCCAAGTTGCCAAAGCCTTAGCTTCTGGTCTCTCGAACCCTTCGGCGCAAACGGTGTTATGAGCTGACTGTTTATATCCATTTAGGAGATTGCTTGTTTTTGGTCCGTTGCAAGGAGGAAAGAGGGAACTTTCATCAGATGTCAGCAGATCACTCTCAGTATTGTCTGATGTCAGTAAGTCACTCAACTCACCAGTATGGGCTAATGACTCGTCAAAGTCCGCAGTGGATTCAGTGGTTCTGCATGGATCGTGAGAGACATGTCTGGCATGAGCAAAGCCAAATTCTTCTGATGACTGTTGGAACAAGTTACTGGAATCTCCTTGCTCATCACTAAACGTGACCCTTCTAGGATTCCTCTTGGTTGTTGATGGCTGGGCGTTTACACCAGACATGTCATGACTTTGACAGGTCACATATGCTGAACTCTCCTCGCTCGCAATGGAAACTTCTGTTTGCCTAAGCACCGCAGCAGAACGCCTGATTGATCGTCGATCCGACAAGAAGGCGATTGTTTTATCAAGGGGTGGCGTATCACCATTATGGGAGCCTTTCATGAACACAGATATGTGGTCAGGAGATGTCACGTCCAAGCCAGTGCAGTTGTCACACATGAGTACCTCCTCTAAGTACGTGTTGGAGAGAGTTCTGTCATGATCATGTTCCTCATCTTGCTCACTTCCAACTCCATCTTCATCTGCTACCGAAGGGCCGTCCATTGGATCAAGATGAGTTGACCCTCTGTCATGGCATCTCTTGAAGTTGCTGCCATTACCACCCAACCCCTGCTTCTGCACCGGCGATGTTGCTTCTTCGCACTTGTGTCCATGACTGTCAAAGCTTCCCCTAGACTTCCCCTCTAAGGACAGTCGCTTCTGTCTCTCCGGTTCACTGACGCAGCTACAAGATTCCTCAGAAAGGTCCTGTCCCCGTGTTTCCGTTCGTGAGACCAAATCTGGGAAGAAAGATCTTGAAGGCCGCGGCTTGTCCTCAGTGAAACTAGAGATCGAGAAAGACGAGACATCTGGGAGGTAGGACAACAAACCGGTAGAATCTAAGGACGCGTGAGCGGAGTTGTGATTGAAGTCTGTCGAGTCATGGCTGTCCAGGCTGCATTCAGGATGCACATCACAACTGCTCCTTGTCTGGTTCAGATACCCTGACAAAACAAAATTTGTATCCAAGAAAGTTCTCAAGTTAAGCATAATTTGACCAAATGAATCAAAATAGGGAAACTGACATAATTCAAGGGAACCCTTGAGGGTTAGGATTAAAATGATTTAATGAGGAACTTGACCGGAGTAGGATTCGAACCTTCCACCTCCATAACACTATGAGCTCCATGCACAAGTACCCTCCTTAACGGTAAGAAAGGGAGAGTTGGGGTGGCGACTTAGGAGAGACATTCGAACGCATTGCCAACGACGCCAGACACTCATACAGAGATGCTATGGCACAGAGATGCTATACGGGCACAAACCAGCATGAACATGGGATTGTGTCACATCCACTTGGCTCTTCAAAGTGGTAGAAAAGCACCTTCTCTTGTTCACACACGGAGCCCATACCATGCATACCTGCACTCTACCACAAGTCCATGCATCCAGGATCCAGGAATTTTTGTGAGGGGAGGGGAGGGGGGGGGGGTGGGGTCAGGCCCGTCAGAATTTTTTTTTTTAATTGTTGCAGACAGGCAGAATGTGATTTTTTAAATTATTGCTATAATTGTTAGAATTTGGTATTTTTTTGGGGTCAGAGCGGCGGGCGGGGGGAGGGGGGGGGGTTTGACTCTCAAACCCCCCCCCCCCCCCCATTTGGATCAGGGCCTGTCTTGAAAAATTGGAAAACAACCAACATAGGGCAAACTGTACATACATGTAGCTGATCTAGTACAGCACCGTTGATGTGTTGGGAGATCTGAGGTTCGAATCCTGCTTTACCTAGTTTCTTTCTGCCTAAGGCCACGTACAAATAACTTGGCTACAGCAGGCAGTACCACACTTAATAAGTATGATTTGGGAGGCTTATCATCCTTGCTCGCAGCTGAGAAGCTGAATTGGGAAGGACGCGACTACAACGTGGTCGAGCGGCTGGCATGTAAAACCATTGGCAGCCAGCCGCACGACCTATATATGACCACGGAGCGCAGCCTGAGGTTGAAAGTGTTTGATTTTTCCAGAGGGAGGAAAACCGGTGGGCTTGGAGAAAAAAACCCTTGGGGCACAGGAGAGAACCAACGCACAATTCTACTATGGTCTGCAGCCGGGGATCGAACCAGGACCACAGTGGTGAGAGGCGAGCACCTTACGCACAAGCCACCCATGCCACCTGACAATCAGGCGCTATCATAGCGGCATGTGTAAAAGCAAGCCGCAGCCAATTGATTCAGACGTGGCCTAATATACAGCATAATGTGACAACAAATCAAGGTCAGTTTACTTGTCACAGATGTGTCCAGTTGAGAATCCTCCTCATCCTCCTCTGTCTGGTATGAAGTCAAGAGATTCAGGCAGTCCCAGTTTTCGTTCTCTTTGGCCAAGTCCGTGGCGTTGGCTCCATCTTCATCACACAACTCGGGGTCGCCTCCGTTCAGCAGGAGGAGTTGCAAAGCCAGAAAGCGTCCCCAAGTAGCAGCCACATGGACCGGTGTCATGCCATCAGCAGACCTTTGGATTACAAATGAAGACCATAACATTTTTTTTATGCATGACACAAGAGGGATATTGAAATGCGTTAGACTTGGTCAACTTTTGTGAAAATAGAGTACACTCTACAAGGGGGAAAATGTTTGAAGCAGAGACGTAATCTAGTCAATCACAAGTCAATGACAAGTATCACGGGATGAAAGGAACGTCTGCTGCAACTCATTCGTATCGCTTGTGACTGACTTGGGCTTATGACTTGTGATTTACCTGCGATGGACTTGTGATTGATTTGTGATTAACTTGTGACTGACTCGATCACAACTCTAGTTCTGAGTAGCCAGAGGTTTAACTTCGTTTTTCAGTAGGTACAGTATGTTCTAACACTCTTCAATTTGAAGTCTCAACCCTTGAGGTCACACCTAAGTCACAAAATAACCAGCTTTGTTCTGGGACTATGAACATATTCAAGCAGTTTATATCAAACACAGCACAAATTTTCACAATCCATATTTACGTATCTAAACATTTGAGTTGCCATTAAGACCTACATATTGTACGTACCAAAACATTTGGGCTGTCATTAAGACCAACAAACTTGTACGTACCTGACGTTTGGGTTGCCATCATACTGTAGTAGAAGCTTGATGAGTGGCAGAGCATTCAAGGAGTCTGTTCCTATGGCTAGATGGAAGGGACTTATGCCGGACGGTAGGACCAGGTTGGGATTGGCACCTTGCTCCAATAAAGACTTGGCCGAGCTGTAAAATAAGCAAAGTACTAGCTTGATGAGTGGCAGAGCATTCAGTGAGTCTGTTCATATGGCTAGATGGAAAGGACTTATGCCAGACTGAAGTGCTAGTTTGGAATTGGCACCTTGCTCCAGTTTGGCTGAACTGTAAAATAAGACAATTAGTAATGCTTGAGGAGTGGCAGAGCATTCAGTGAGTCTGTTCATATGGCTAGATGGAAAGGACTTATGCAAAACTGAAGTACTAGTTTGGGATTGGCACCTTGCTCCAATAAAGACTTGGCTGAGCTGTAAAATACCATAAGCATATTAGAAACTTGATGAGTGGCAGAGCATTCAGTGAGTCTGTTCCTATGGCTAGATGGAAAGGACTTATGCCGGACTGAAGTACTAGTTTGGGATTGGCACCTTGCTCCAATAAAGACTTGGCTGAGCTGTAAAATACCATAAGCATATTAGTAACTTGATGAGTGGCAGAGCATTCAGTGAGTCTGTTCCTATGGCTAGATGGAAGGGACTTATGCCAGACTGAAGTGCTAGTTTGGGATTGGCACCTTGCTCCAGTTTGGCTTAACTGTAAAATAAGACAATTAGTAATGCTTGAGGAGTGGCAGAGCATTCAGTGAGTCTGTTCCTATGGCTAGATGGAAAGGACTTACAATTATGTATGCCAGACGGTAGTACTAGCTTGGGATTGGAACCTTTCTCCAATAAAGACTTGGCTGAGCTGTAAACTAAGCCAATTAGTTGCTTGATGAGTGGCAGAGCTGCCAGAGCAATCAGTGAGTATTTTCCTATGGCTAGGTGGAAAGGACTTTAATGCACACCTGACCATAGGATTAGGTTGGGATTAGAAGCTTGCTACGTAAAGACCTGTCCGAGCTGTACGAACAGTCAAAGTTAGTACCGTAACTCGATGAGTGGCAGAGCATTCAATGAGTCTGTTCCTATTGCTAGATGGGAAGGACTTACTTCCAGACGGTAGCATCAGGTTGGATTAGCACCCAAGGGCAGATCGAGAAAGCAGAAGGTCATGGGTTCGAGTCCCACCCGAGTGATTTTTTTTCCAACTTTCCCTCAGAAGGTAACACACTGAGTATATACCGGGGTACTATACAGTGTTTATACGTCGGTGAAGGGCATTAAACCTAATATTGATTTACATCACCCTAGCAAATTCATCTTATGAATAGTGTAAAGTAGGCCTACTTTCCATTACAAAGATGCAACATATTGTGCAATGTGCATAGGTATTTATTGATGATTCTTAAAACATGAAAAACCTCAATTGCACAGGTTAGCGATCTGCACATAAAAATGTATTCAGTGATATACTGTATTCCCATCCATGTGAAAACACTGTTGAATTGTGTTTTATAGTGAAAGACAAACTGAATGCTTTGTCACGCATGTATACTCCTGTTCTGAACTATGTACCGGTGCTGTACCTAATTCTGAACATGACTCATCCATCGTTTTACTTGTCAAACGATGGCTTGTTTAGTCTGGAAGATACATTGTCTTTTGGCAGACACCCAAAGCTACAAAGGATATTTCTTTTTCTAGTTTTCCAGATAAAGGTCAGTAGAGATCTGTGAGTTATGGAAGGACCAAAGGTGGAAGTCCACTTACATTGTAATCCTCCAAAACTGTTATTTATCATGTTAACAGGGGTACTTATCGGAATAATTGATTTGGTTTATTGACATTCTAGTGTGTACCCTGCACAAACTAAACTTACATTGTAATCAGAATAGATTAAGGGAATGTACATCATTGGCTTTTGCTGTAATTTTCAGAAATGAATTATTTGAGGGGTTAGTATAATAGATCAAATATTGTTACACTGACATGTTGGAAGTTTTGTGTTCAAAAATGCTGGAAAAACCAAGAAAAACAACAAAATTAAAGTAGTTTGGTTCCCTGACTCCACTAAAGATGAAATGGATCAATTTATAGATGCTGGAAAATTGCAAGGTAAGGGAACCGGTCTAGCTGGCCTGCACCCGTTCATGATTATGTAACCAATAGCAAAAAAAATGGACTGAAAATAAAAGGTAAATTTGGAGCAGTAGTTGAAAAATAGTTAGGTTTTTCCAACGGTGGTCGGCCGACCACCGTTGGAAATGTATACAAAAATACCATTTTCTTGAAAATGACTTCACAACAGGAGCCAATATTTTACAGGATGCTTTAGACTGTCGTTTACCAACGTCCTAGTAAGGTATTTCATAAAAACTTGGTACTTTTATTTTTTGATTTTTGCAAATGTTGTATATTCCCTTTAACAGGGGTACTCATCAAAATGAATGATTTGGTTTATTGACATTCTAGTGTGTACCCTGCACAAACTAAACATAATCAGAACAGGGATTAGGACCTTATCTTTATTGGAAAACATTGCAATTGTAAATGTCAAATTACATTTGAGGACAAAAATGTACATTGTACTTTATCTTTAAGCAGCAAACTTGAAGCCTCGACTGTGATTGGTCAATTCATGGGAACAATAGTGCAATATAAGTATGGTACCATACTTATTTGCACAGTCCGCACTGCATTCCGCACACAGTAAATTAATATTCTATTGATGGGTGCGCAATTTCTGCTGCACGCACATGAATAGGATAACCCTTGAAAAATTGTGTGTACCGTGTTCTATTTTTGCTGTACGTCAAGTTTGCTGGAAGATAAATTTGTAATTATCGCACCCATCGTGCCACTCGGCCTTCCTGTGTGGCATACATATTTATATTGGACACAGTATGCACAAGAATTTATTGAGTTCCACTCACCCTCATGGGTGGAACAGCAATGTACAGCAAATGCTCCTAGAAACTAGGAATGAATTTTATGCCAACAAGAAAGCATCTTGAAAAGTGACCAAACTAATCATTGTGAGTGAGGACACAACTCCTGTCTTCTGAGCTAAGAATTTGGATAAAATACAGAAAGACAATACCGGTAATTGAGAAAACATTAAGACTAGGCAAATCTATTACAGCTGGTGGTACAAGAGCACACAAAGTTCTATTCCATTGATTACATAACTTGCTATTCACTAGAAGTCTGGTTATGCAACTGGTCTACACAGTGGGCTGGATTTAGCCCATTCATTGGCATTACAGGGTAATCCTTTATGATAGCACTGCCCGACTCACTAGGCAAATCTAGTACAGCTGGTACAAGAGCGCACAAAGTTCTATTCCATTGATTACATAACTTGCTATTCACTAGAAGTCTGGTAATGCAACTGGTCTACACAGTGGGCTGGATTTAGCCCATTCATTGGCATTAGGGTAATCCTATATGATAGCACTGCCCGACTCACTAGGCAAATCTACATGTAGTACAGCTGGTACAAGAGCGCACAAAGTTCTATTCCATTGATTACATAACTTGCTATTCACTAGAAGTCTGGTTATGTAACTGGTCTACACAGTGGGCTGGATTTAGCCCATTCATTGGCATTAGGGTAATCCAATATGATAGCACTGCCCGACTCACAAGGCAAATCTAGTACAGCTGGTGGTACAAGAGCGCACAAAGTTCTATTCCATTGATTACATACATGTAACTTGCTATTCACTAGAAGTCTGGTTAAGCAACTGGTCTACACAGTGGGCTGGATTTAGCCCATTCATTGGCATTACAGGGTAATCCTATGTGATAGCACTGCCCGACTCACTAGGCAAATCTACGTAGTACAGCTGGTACAAGAGCGCACAAAGTTCTATTCCATTGATTACATAACTTGCTATTCACTAGAAGTCTGGTTATGCAACTGGTCTACACAGTGGGCTGGATTTAGCCCATTCATTGGCATTACAGGGTAATCCTATATGATAGCACTGCCCGACTCACTAGGCAAATCTAGTACAGCTGGTGGTACAAGGGCGCACAAAGTTCTATTCCATTGATTACATAACTTGCTATTCACTAGAAGTCTGGTTATGCAACTGGTCTACACAGTGGGCTGGATTTAGCCCATTCATTGGCATTACAGGGTAATCCTATATGATAGCACTGCCCGACTCACAAGTAGCAGTCAGTGAGTCAGTCAGTGAGATACATGTAGGTAGAAAGAGGACACTAGGCTGGCTCTCTAGGACCAGCAAAAACAGCTCAATATCGTTATCATACATGTACCGGTAACTTACAAATCTATTGAGTGCCCCCTCTACATATAATGGACATATCCCCTCCCTGCCTGGTACTGCAATTTGGACCCTTGTTACTTCACTGATCAGGAAACAAATACAACTCCTCACATGAAGCTGATCTTCATCAGTGATAACAGTTGAAGTTATTAAAAATTAAAAAGATACAGGCCATGTTTGTATAATTGCCATCACCTGATCACGCACTCAATTGGAGATAACATTCTTGGCAGCTTGGCAACAATTCATCCACTGGAGTAGCAACCTAAAAATATGCATATCGTTCGATACAGGCCAGCTCTAATGCTCGCTCATTCAGCAGAGCAGCCCCTTTGCATAATGTTGAGAGTTCTGTAACTGTAACAACATTTACTAGAAAAGGGAAATGATAAATTTTGCAACTAAAGTTTCTGTCACAATGAAGGTTGTCGCCCTTGCTTTATTAGTTCTCCAACTGCCCTGGTGCATTGCAGGTAAGTTTTTGCTGGTCACAGAGGGTGTTCTACAATGTATTTGTGACCAGTTCCCACGAAATGAGTCTTAAAGTCATATTTGTTTGAATAAGTTTTTGCATGCAGTATGAAGCACATAAATTGCTTTTCGTTTAATTTTTCACTCCTTTTGACATCTTTAATAATGCAGATGTTATGTGGGTTTAGAAAGGTTGACTGTTCCAATGTTGATTTTCATTGTGTAGGATTCTGTTAATGTACGGTAGGTTCATTACTCAAAACTAGCTCTGGCGACTTGTGACTCATTTTTTTGGGTTGTATCACATATTTGTACCTACATGTACATGTACACTAACTTACGAGGTGTTTGAGTAATCACTGGAACCAGTCAGTTTACTACGCCAAGTGCGAGATAACCACTTACATGTAGGAGGTGTTTACACAGTAATCACCAGAACCACTGACTGTCACTCATGATTATAATAATAATATTATTATAATAACGGAGTCTTATATAGCGCACGTATCTACCAACAATTAGGTACTCAAGGCGCTGGAAATTATGTCTATTGTTAAAGGGAAGATACAACATTTGCAAACTTCAAAAAACGAAATAATCAAATTATCACAAAATATCTTACTGGATTGTTACGGAATGACAGTCTAAAGCATCCTGTAAAGTTGGGGCTCCTGGTGTGCTGATACATGTATATTCAAGAAAACCTGCATTTTTTCAACACTAGTCGGCCGACCAGCGTTGGAGAAAACTGGCTTTTTTTCAAAAACTGTTCCTACTTTTTCATATTTAGTTATTCTGACTTTTCCTTGCAATTGATTACACACCTGTGAAGGGGTTCAAGCTTGCTAGACTTATTCTCTGACCTTAAAATTCCCCAAAGTGTATTAATTGCTCCGTTTCATCTTAAGTGGGGTCAGGGAACCAGACTATAAGATGATAGATTTTCTTGGTTTTTCCAGCATCTACAAGCCCAAAACGTGAATTAAGTCAGTTTAACAATATTTTCTATAACATACTTATCCTCCAAATCCATTTATTTCTGAAAATTGCAGCAAAAGCAAATGTTGTACATTCCCTTTAAAGACAGGTAAATAAAGTATATGACAAATATGAGACCCATTACAGCACCTTATAAGGGTGTACAAGGTGCTGCGGCGCATATTGCAGCCACTGCCAGAAACACCGGGGCAAACCCCTTCTCTTAGAGATAAGTGTTACTGGGTTCTTTAACGTGTGCAAACACAACACACGGGATCTACGGCTTTACGTCCCATCCGACGGACGAAGCAATAATGGTAAAGTGCCTTGCTTAAGAGCACAAGCACCATGTTCCCACGGTCAGGATTCGAACTCATGTACCACGGCACACAAATCGAACACCGTAACCATTGGACCACAGCGCCCCACAATGGTACATTGCACATGTACTGTACATGTAGACTGGTGAGGAGAGCCAGGTAGTGCTGTTGTATAGGATTACCCCCAAAATCAAGCCCAGAGTGTGGGCCACATGCATGAACAGACTTCCGGTGAAAATTAGCCATCCTAAACCGAACCTCCCTCTCTCAATGACAGTCTGTAGAGAGTAATCCTACATGTACATTGTACATGTATGTAATGTCAAAATCTATGTTTTTAACAGGTCCATAAACTGGCCTCATGTTGGATAGGTTAACATGGCTGCTGCACAAGCAGTATACCAGCAGTAATGGTCAACCTACATGTATGTACTGTACATCAAACACCTTCAACAGGCTTTGCAAATAACAGAGCATTCTGTAGAGGTTTCTGATAGTTGGTGACCATCAGCCTGTACAAAAGCTATTTGCATACATGTACATTAGGGGATACATGTAGGTTTTTGGACAGTTTGTGATGGTTACGTACAGATGTATAGTAACAGTATAAGTACAATGAAGTATGGGCTCCGAGCACAAGTGCTCCTTCAACGGCCAGAAAAGGAGAGTTAGCGGAGACTGGTTCTCGGTTCATCCACTGCATATTTCGAATGATTCAAAGTTATTGGGGGAATAAGTCTGCTCTGGGATACCATCGTAAGTTAAATTTGAACGTATTTGCGCGCTGACGACGCATGACACCCACATGAAGATGCTGTGGCTAAGGCACCCTCAGGAAGTTGTTCGCTCTTCGCGCGCAAACCAGTACAGTAGCGGTACGCGCATGCGGATGTCCTGTCCACGGAGCTCTAAAGGTGGTAAAAACGCGCCCTCGTTTGTTGGCGCACAAAAGCCCAAAGGAGGGTTAAATGAAATTTTGTGATGCTGGGGTCACTCAGTTTTACAAGGCTTGCCATGTCTTATATTTTTTTAGGGGGTTCGAGTTCATCCAGAGATATTTTTTTTTCAAAACCTCGTTTTCTGACTTGAATATCAATGTTCTCTTATTCTATACAATTCTCTTGTTTTTGGTAGACGCAGAGGATAAACCCTGCAAGAAAAAGTATTTTGATGGCAACAGTTCGTTTGTATGCGAATGCTCTGCTAACTACTGTGACACGGTGGAGAGACATGCTGAATTGAAACCAGATGAGGTCATCGAGTACAGCTCCAGCAAAGATGGTGACCGCTTCACAAAGACGATCCTCGCCATGGATAACAACACAGCAGGTAAGAGTTAAAAAAAGAAGGGTTTCCACGACAGTATTAAATCATATGAGAGTCATGTTCAAGTCGCATCCCAAGTCAGTCACAATTCAAATCATAATGTACATGTACATGTACATGTAGCCATGGTAATGGGATGAACAGCGACAAAAGAATGCCTTGATCACAATTCATTTGACTGTAGCTTGTCAGTTGACTAAGACTGGATGACTTGTGATATTACATGTATTATTATTATTAATCATTTCTGGTAATGAAACCAAGGATTCCTCAAAAGCGCCCTAGGCACTGTAGCTTGAGAAAACCTGTGGAGAGGAGACAATGAGAAGAAGTTACATTGTACAGTTTTAGAGGTGGGAGGAAACGCCCAGAAGAATATTCTGCGAAACCCCACGGAATCAGGCAGGGACTGAAAACCCAATCCACATATTGGCCCAGGCGGGATTCGAACCCGGGTCACAGCGGTGGAAGGCGAGGAAAGTACCGCTGTGCCAATCTGACTCCCGATATATGACACATGGATGAGGAAGAGGGTCCAATTTTATCGCGCTGTCAGTGTCAGTCAAAATCAATCAAGTGACCGAGTAACAGTTAAGAATTCCCAGCCTATACCTGAGGATGGACTGGCTGGGACTATGTGTAAGTAACTTGATACACAGTTATGCTTTGACTCCTGGTGAGTGATAAAACAGCTGTACTAACTTGCCTGCTTTGTCTGTTGATCCAGTTTGACTAGTCACAGTGCTTGCTTGGTTTACATGATCTGACTGTGACTAGCCTTTTTTAAAAGTATACACAATGTAATATGTAAAGCAGTGAATTTGGACTGTAGTCTGTGTGACTGTTTAAAGTAGCAGGAGGGTATACAGTGGTACATCGTATAGCAGAATAGTTACTACGGTATGTTTAACAGAAAATTGTGCCAACCCGCATCACTAATTTATCATGTTTATGGCTTGGATGTGTTAATGGTTGCGCATGCATGGAGATAGTATATATAATAATAATAATAATACATGTAATATGTAGTGCTTGTATAGCACTTTATACCAAAGGTCTCAAAGTACTTCACAATTATTACCCCTGTTCATCAGGCCATGAGACCAGTTTCTGCAGCAGCTCGAGATCAGCGCATTCTGGTCTCTACCTTCACAGGTACCCATTTATACTCCTGGGTGGAGAGAGGCAATTGTAGTAAAGCGTCTTGCCCAAGAACACAAGCACCTTGTTTCCCGTCAGGGTTTGAACCCATGTACCACGGCCGCACGTGAGTCGAACACCGTAACCACTGGACCACAGTGCTCTATGTATACATGTATAAACATGTACATTGTACATGTACATACGTAACTTATTTAAGGAACTTCTTGCTTACTGTCTCAATGAAATATAAATAGACAAATGTTCTATAGCAGAAAATCATGTGTTTAGTAGCGCCATGAAATTTGGCCCAGGACTTGATCTGCAGAAATATGAGTATATAGTAATGCATTCCAAATTAAACCAAATGGTTTTAACAGTTTAAGGAATATTTCAAAAAGCCCCAACCAATTGAACAGACTTACTTACTGAAAGGGATTCGTAGAAAAACAAATTCAGTAGCTTATCTCACAATACATGTAGGCCTATGTTTTGAAATATTCTTATATTCCATTTTGCCAAATGAAATAATTAACAATCCTTTAAATTTCTTATAAGATTAAAAAACAATTATTTTTTTGTGGTAGAAGTTAATCAATGTTCTCTTGTGTTTCATTTCAGACATGTCAGAGGGTGCAGAACTGTTCACGGTGAATTCCTCTGTAGTATATCAGACCATCTTAGGGTTTGGAGGAGCCTTCACAGACTCAGCGGCTATGAACATCTTGAATGTATCAAGCAAGGTTCAGGATCACCTACTCAGGTCTTACTTCTCCATTCAAGGTACAGTACTGTGAACACATCAGTGCACAAGGCTGGGAACCGACTATCAAAAACTTAAGTAACTGATGAACCAATTTAGTTTTCAAGTGATATTCCCCTAAATCTCTAAATAGTCTATGGGCTGCGCAAACAGGAGAGGGTGCCTTTTTACAAGTTTTGACAGCGCAGTGGACAGGACAAACTGCATTCGCTTACGCACCGGTTCATGTATGTATAACACTTTTGTGATAAGAGTTCTAAATTACACAATCTTACCAAACTTTGGTGAGGACAAGAAAATTAATTTAGCCTGCAACTGTCGAGGCTTGAAGAAATTCTGTTAAGGCTTGAAAAAATGTTGCCTGCTACTGCAGAGGCTCGAAGAAATTTTAAACTAATAAATATTAAACTAAAAAAAGTAAAAAACAGAACACCACCAAACCAGTATCCGAGCCCACAATTCAACAGTAAACTAAGAAAAATACGGCTGATGGACGCCAGTGAGACCGAAGCCTTTGAGGAGAAGACCGGTGTCAAGAAGGGATGTGTCATCGCTCTTACATGTACCTGTTTCTCCATTTTCACTGCTGCTTTCACCCATCTTGTGAAGAACAAGCTCCCCAGCACAGTTGATATTGTCTACCAGACAGATGGAAAGCTGTTCAACCTCAGCCTACTAAAGTCCAAGAGAAAACGGTGACAACTTCCCTCATGGAACTCCAGTATGCAGATGACAATGCTGTTATGGCCACCTCCACGGAGAAGCTTCAGGCTATCCTGAACGTCTTTGCAGAAGGATGCCAAAGGCTTGGTCGGAGCCTCAATCTCAAGAAGACCAAGATCTTCCAGCAACCTGCTCCCAATGATGTGCCTGATGCTCCTTCCATCCAAATCAACAGAGAACTCCTTGACAACGTGGAGCATTTCTCATACCTGGGAAGCCACCTTTCATTGAAAGCAGACATGGTGGAAATCCAACACCGCCTCCAGTCTGATGGCAGTGCCTTCGGTTGGCTGAGGAAAACAGCCTTAAGTTTGATGAATGAGACCTCTGCACGAAAACTGAGATCCTTGTCTACAAGGCAGTATAGAGTCCACCCAACACTACTCTATGGCTCGGAGACCTGGACTATGTACAGACGCCATCTGAAGGTTTTGGAGAGGTACATGTGTATCATAAAATAGGAAGAGAGATGCACCAACATCAGCGTTCTGGAGGAAGCCAACAGCACGAGCATCAAAGCCATGGTTACCCGTAACCAACTGAGATGGAAGGGCCACATACTCAGGATGTTAGACTTTCGCCTCCCAAAACAAGTGCTCTTTCGTCAGCTTCGAGAGGGGCTCCGTTCAAGGAGGACAGAGGAAACGCTTCAAGGACACCATGAAAGCTAGCCTCAACAAATGTTACATTGATGTCAACACTTCGGAGATACTTGCACTGGAGCGACTTTCCTGGAGGAAGTTACTGTATGAAGGGATAGAACACTTTGAACAGGCACAACAGCAGGAGGAAAAAGCGGTCCCTCAGAAAAGAGCAAAAAGAACCCAGCTCCAAAGACATCCTGTTACCTCAGGACTTCCTGCCGTGTACATGTACATGTACAATGTACGCAGCCGCAGATGTGGTTCAAAGATAAGACTTATCAGCCACTCAAAGGTCCGCAGGGACCCAAATTGAAGCCTGCTTGGTAGATGACCATGCTCGTTCACGAGTGATCGACTTGTTCACGTAACCCAGTGTCATTGACAATTGTCCTATGTGCATCTGTCCTATGTGCAATTGTCCTATGTGTCATTGACAATTGTGCATCTGTCCTATGTCCAATTGTCCTATGTGTTATTGACAATTGTCCTATGTGCATGCGTTTGAATGTCTCTCCCACTGGTCTCCCAAACTCTTCCTAACTCTCCCTTACCGGGGTGGGGGGTGGGGGGGGGTGGGGGATGGGGGGGTGGGGGGGGGGGGGGGGGGGGGGGGGGATGGGGCTGGGGGGGGAGGGTGGGGGTGTACTTGTTCACGTAACCCATAGTGTCATTGACAATTGTCCTATGTGCATCTTGTTTCATTTGCACAGGCATTGAATACAACATGGGTCGTGTGCCCATCCACAGCTGTGATTTCTCCCTGTCCGAATACAGCTACGATGATTACGATGGTGACTTTGGTCTTGTCAACTTTACACTGGTATCTGAAGATTTTGATTTGAAGGTAATGTCTTCCCATGCACACTTCATACATGTACAGGTACAAACAGCAAGACCAATAAAGCACAGTAAATGTCACATACATGTATGGCATCAATGACTCTCTATAAATTTCAAAATCTGTAGGGCTGTTTTCAAGGGCACGGTAACCCTGAAGCAAACTTTAGTCAAACCAAATTCACAACTTGTGACAAAATTGTGTTTCCTCTATGGGTAATAACACCTCCCTAACTTGTGTGTCATGCGTAACTTGTGCACATCACACTGAACTTTGGTTGTACATTTGGTTGCAAACTCACAATGCACCAATAAATAAAAGACCAACTGTGATAGCTGTAAGTTTCTGCTGGATTCCACAGGCTTCACAAGCTTGGCTGTGATTGGTCCAAGTTTAATTCAGTATAAAAGCTGCAATGTGAGAGAAAACTTGACATACATGTGTACCTCTGTTAATAAACCACTCATGAACATAAAACTGTTGTTGAATGCTTGTTGAATGTAATAACATGAAGAATGGCCAGACACGAGAAACAAAGGATAATTGTTGAATTTCTTTGCCTTGAAGATCCCAGTGATCAAGCGAGCCAAAGCCATGAGTGAGTGGGACATCCGTCTGTTTGCCAGCCCTTGGTCTGCCCCGGCCTGGATGAAGACCAACGGCATGATGCACAATGGGTTCAATCAAGGCTTTCTTATCGGCAAACCTGGCCAAAAGTACTACAAGACATGGGCCAACTATTTCATCAGGTATGTAGGCCTATTTTGCAGATTTGTTCATGGCTGAGGGACTCCTTGCAAAGTACGCCTTACAATGTATATACAATGTACCTGGTTACAGGCCATGTCTGAATGACTCGGTTGTGGCAGGAAATTACACACGCCCCAATAGAAGCGGCTGCAGCCACTTCCCGTAGACCCGTGTGGTCTTTCCAGCCTTAGGAGGCATGGTTCAAAATTGCTGTAAGCCTATCTGGCTCCGTGCACAAATACCCCATCAACACCCAGAAAAGGAGAGTTGACCTTCCCGATCCATCCACTGCATATTTCGAATGATCCAAACTTATTGGTGCAGGGTTTAGTCCGGGAGACCATCGCAAGTTAAATTCATATATATAAATTTGAACGTACATGTATTCGCACGCTGACAATGCCTGACACTCATGCGGAGACGGGGTGCATGGCTGTAGCTTTTGCACATTCAGGAAGTTGTGCGTACTTCGTGCGCAAACCAGTACAGTACAGTACAGTGTGCACATGCTGTGTGTTCCATCCACGGAGCTCTCAAAAGAGATGTACATGTTTGTATGTAAAAACGCGCCCTCTTTTGTTGGCACACAGAGCCCATAGACCAAAACTGGATTTAGATTGTACAAAATGTATTGCCCTAATGCAGTGGCGATGAGTTTGCTATCATCAACATGAATAAAATCACATCTTGGGAACTTCGGTGTTGCAACCCAGAAAAATTCCTGGCACGCACAGATCTCATGCAAGTGCACCTGCTGGAAAACAGCGTAAGAGAGGTATGCTTGTTATCCTGGGAAGTGCTCCCGAAGTCGCGTCCTACGCCAATATGTATTTTGACACAGTTTGTGAGACAGGATTGTGTTTTACATGTAAGTTCACTTTGAGCATTTTTGTGTCTACCTTTTACGCGAAAATACTTATATTGCTCATCACTCGAGCCTGCTGGAACAATGTACCGGTATGTGAACGTACAGTATTCCATTTAATTTTCAAATGATCTTAACAGATTTCTCAAAGCTTACGACAAGCTAAATATACCGATGTGGGGCCTGACTGTACAGAACGAGCCCACGGCCGGTCTGATTCCCTTCTACAGTTGGCAGTGCATGGCCATGCAGCCACCTAGAATGAGGGACTTCATCAAGATGGATCTGGGACCTGCCCTGCATGAGAACGGCTATGGACACATCAAGCTCATGTCGCATGACGACAACCTACCTGGGATATTTGAAGACACTGAAACGGTAGGTTACAAGATGTTCCCCAGTCCCTACCGGTATCCCCCCCCCCCCAGTGCTTATGTCATGTAAGTTCCCCAGTCCTTATGTTCCCCAGTCCCTATTTCCTATGTTCCCAGTGTTCCCCTAGGGTATAGGGTTAGGGTTACATATGAATGGGGTCGCTGAACATACGGTACATGTAGGGACTGGCCCTTACAGAAAATTTAGCTTGCGGCAAGCTTTTCATGCATACACCTGGCAAAAAGGGAAAAGTGAATCAGGTTAGCTTGTAAATCAGGTTAGCTGCAGGTTAGCTTGCCGCAGGTTAGCAGGCAAGCTTGCGACAAGCATTGTACAATCATCGGTTCCTTGCAAGCTTGCAGTCACCGAAAGCCTACTGCAAGCTTGCCGCAAAGCTTGCAGACAAGCTTGCCTAATTTGCATTTTTGGTACCTTGCAAGCTTGCTGCAAGCTTGTTGGTGCAAGCTTGTCCGAAATCTTGTCGGCAATCTTGTCGGCCAGCTTGTCGGCCAGCTTGTCGGCCAGCTTGTCGGCCAGCTTGTCGGCCAGCTTGTCGGCCAGCTTGTCGGCCAGCTTGTCGGCCAGCTTGTCGGCCAGCTTGTCGGCCAGCTTGTCGGCCAGCTTGTCGGCCAGCTTGTCGGCCAGCTTGTCGGCCAGCTTGTCGGCCAGCTTGTCGGCCAGCTTGTCGGCCAGCTTGTCGGCCAGCTTGTCGGCCAGCTTGTCGGCCAGCTTGTCGGCCAGCTTGTCGGCCAGCTTGTCGGCCAGCTTGTCGGCCAGCTTGTCGGCCAGCTTGTCGGCCAGCTTGTCGGCCAGCTTGTTGGCCAGCTTGTCCGCCAGCTTGTCGGCCAGCTTGTCCGCCAGCTTGTCCGCCAGCTTGTCCGCCAGCTTGTCCGCCAGCCTGTCCGCAAGCCTGTCCGCAAGCCTGTCCGAAAGCCTGTCCGAAAGCCTGTCCGAAAGCCTGTCCGAAAGCCTGTCCGCAAGCCTGTCCACAAGCCTGTCCGCAAGCCTGTCCGCAAGCTTGTCTGTAAGCTTGTCTGCAAGCAGAAATATAGACTGAAATCTTAACTGTTACAGTGAATGAACACTCAAGCTAATACAACACGGTACATGTATCGGTACATGTACTGGTACATGTAGGTTTTAAAGATGTTTGATAGAACCCCAAACATCTTAGATGTAATTAACGAAAGGTATAACAGGACTCACAGATAGCTTTTTTACTTTACATAATTACAGGTTTTGAATGATACAGAGACTAAGGCATACACATCCGGTATAGCACTACATTGGTATCAGGATAACTGGCCAGGGGCCGACTACGACCAGCTGGATAAAATCATTGAACATTACCCAGACCAGTTTATATTGGCCACCGAGGCTTGCGAGGGATACCAGGCCAATGCTGAGCCGGTTATCCTTGGAAGCTGGGAGCGAGGAGAGGCCTACAGCTATGACATTATCCAGGTAAAGTCTTTACAACTCTAGTTTCCTTCTGACATTCACCGCATTGCAGCAACGAAATCACTTTGCACTGAATTAGTAACGCATTTGCATTTAATTTTGTAAATGCTTTAAATGGGTAAGCGTTCAGACATTCAAGAAGGCTGACCCATGATCATTATGTCTGCAGACATATTTCCTAGCACTTTTACCATGACTACATGTAGGTTAAGGAAAAGGGGCAACAAATCTGTTGATGTCATTTACTCTAATTTCAGGCTAAATTGTGGGTACATTTTGTACATGTACAATGACCATGTAGCCATATTCATTCAATTGTAAGTGAATAAACAAGACACAGGAAATGTGATTTTGACCATCAGGACTTGAACCACTTTGTATCTGGTTGGGTCGACTGGAATATAGCTCTGAACATGCAAGGTGGACCCAACTGGGCCAAGAATGAAGTGGACTGCCCCATCATAGTGGATGCTGAGAATGACGCATTCTACAAACAGCCAATGTTCTACCACATGGGCCATTTCAGGTACAACTTCAGTAGGACAAATCTCTGCTAAATCCATCAATAGAAGGCATTTTCGTGCATTTTGTTTGTTTCCAATAATAATAATTTAATAACGTTTGGATCTCTTGGTTGTTCTCATAATAATTTAATAAAGGTGGAGAACAGGAATCAGGCTTTGCACTTTTAATATGTCTCAATCTAAATTTGTATTGAAAAATGTTTGAAATAAGACTATTGTAACGTCGACCGGATCCTGGGTTGTCACATGCCAGACGAAGGAAACCACAGACACTATTCTTCAGGGTTTCGGGGCTCGAGGCCATTTATTCTTTCCACTTTCTTACACGAGGCTCTCTTTTTATGCTTCACAACCAAGACACGATACAAAAACACCACACTACTGAGTCAGCGAAGACCGCCAATGGGTCTCCCTGGCCAAGCAGCAGGGGTCCTGATGCTACAGTTGCACCGTGACTCTGCACTGGCGCCCTCTGCTGGCGGCCTGGCACCGATGTTACACCGCCCCCTCCGAGGACCTTTGTTCATCCCCGAACAGGGCGGCCCCTCTGCTGGGGTCACCTCTTGGGTTTCCTCTAGGTTCTCCTTTGGGGTCTCCTCTGGGGTCTCCTCTGGGTTCTCCTTTGGTGTCTCCTCTGGATTCTCCTCTGGGTTCTCCTTTGGAGTCTCCTCTTGGGTCTCCTCTTGAGTCTCTTTTGGGGTCCCTTCTGGAGTCTCCTCTGGGTTCTCCTTTGGGGTTTCCTCTATTCACTCGTGTGCAGAGCAACTGCGCCTACTCCACAGGTTCCCGCGCGGAGCAGCTCTGTTGGCTCCACTGACTCCACTCCATAGACTCTTGTGCAGATCAACACCATCGGCTCTGCTCCATTGACTCCATGCATGCAAAGCAACTCCATCGGCTCCACCGGATCTGTTCCATAGACTCCCGTGCTGAGCAACTGCGCCAGCTCCGCTCCATTGACTTCCATGCGGAGCAACTCCATGCAACGGCTTTGCTCCATTGACTTGTGCACTGAGGAGCCGATCCACAGGGGACCACACATCAGGCACATGCGCAGGACCACACATCAGGCACATCAGGCACATGCGCAGACGTGCGCAGAACGGAGCCGTTCCGAAAGGAAAGTGCGTCATATGAATGCTTGTGTTAAGGGGCTGTTCCCGTCGTTGGCCCTGGTACTTGTGTTGGTGCAGAAGAAGCGGGGTTTCTCCGAACGATCAAGCCCGGTAACCCCTGCTGCATCAACAGGTGCAACTCGGCAGTATTCCAAATGAAACAGAGTGTCTGTTGCGCCACTGTGCATAGTCATAGTGCGGGGCAATACCCCGTGGGACTTTGCACTGGGCTTACTGGTAAAACCATCCCGTAGCATCCCAAAACAAAGCCCCGCCCTTGCTGCATCAACATCACAGCCCGACAACATTCTGAGTGGAACGGAGTGTTTACGCCGCTGTGTACAGCGTGGGGCAATTCCCTATGGGACCTAGCATGTAGGCCTAACTGGCTCCCCAAAACTCTGGAAAATTCCAACTTCGAGTCATCCAACATGGTTCCGACGCTACCGCTGCACCATGATACTGTGCTGGTGCCCTCTGCCAACCGTCCGGCACAGGCCTTACACCGCCTCCTCCGAGGACCCATGTTCATCCCTGAACAAGGCGGCGCCTCCACCGGGGTCACCTCTGGGGTAACCTCTGGTGTCTCCTCTGGGGTCTCCTTTGGGGTTTCCTCTGGGGTAACCTCTGGGTTCTCCTCTAGGGTCTCCTTTGGGGTCTCCTCTGGGGTCACCTCTGGGTTCTCCTCTGGGGTCTCCTTTGGGGTCTCCTCTTGGGTCCCCTCTGGGGTCTCCTTTTGGGTCTCCTCTGGGGTTTCCTTTGGAGTCTCCTTTGGGGTCTCCTAGTCTGGGGTCTCCTAGTCTGGGGTCTCCTCTGGGGTCTCCTCTGGGGTCTTCTTTTGGGGTCCCCTCTGGAGTCTAGGGTTTCCTCAATGGAGGGGGCCGCCAACGGGTGATCCTGGCCAAGCAGCAGGGATCCCGACAATACGGTTGCATCGCGAGTCCGTGCTGGCACCCTCTGCCCGTGGCCCGGCATTGACGTTATACTATTACAGATCAAGGAATGCTTAAAGCAAACGTGATTGTGCTGTAACTAAAATTCTGAATTTAAAAGAAAACTTTTAAATTCAGATCTTGACCTTAATCAAAACAATGATTTTGTGTAATTTACAAAACCGACGATGAGCCGATGCTGATGACTCACATGTAGGGGTGTTTGAATACGATGACCCTCAATCAATTAATTTTGCCAAAAATAAGATTTTTACAAAAAAAAATTATTTAAATTAGTGATTAAATATAAATTCATTTGATTTACATGTAAATTGCAATTTAAATGATGTTTATCAATCAACGTCACGAACATATTTGAATCAGCCAAATCTGCATGTTTTTGCCCACAGTAAATTTGTTCCGGCAGGATCAGTGCGTATTGGGCTGCACAGCTCCGCTAATAATGCCAGCCAGCTGAACTCGATTGCATTCAAACGTCCAGATGGCACACTGGTAACTGTACTCCTCAACAGGTATGAGACACGATGTACACTTTTTTAACCCTACATGTAACCCTGCTGAATCCAACAGGATCCAACGATACCATTTACCAGATGGAGCCTGTTGGATTGAGCAGTAAACCCCTTACAAGTGTACATTCTTGATGCAAAATGTTGGATTCAGCAGGCAGCTGAACCGCATTATAATGCCAAGTTGGATACCGTTGGATTCAGCAGACAACTGAAAATAAGGCACAGTGGATTGAACCCGAAACTCTGGTACGACTCTGTTGGACTTAGCAGGGTAGTCCTGGCGCAATTCTCTAAATAGACCCTTTCGTAAAATTTGTCACTGCTCCATGTGCTCAGTCAACTGTGAATGTAAGGACATGATCAGGGTGTCATTTTAAAGAGGAGATCCAACCCTACCAGAGGATATCTCCTTGTTTTTATCCACCATGTACACCAGTATATCATGTTGTATGTACTTCGTTTTTTATCAGGGGAGATAGTGAGGTACCATTCAGCATGCATGAAGCCACCCAAGACGGCTACTTTAACTCATCGGTTCCAGCGCGCACCATCAAAACCTACTTGTGGAAGATGGCTGATCCCTCAGAATCCTTCACAGAGTCTTCTGTAACTTCAGAACACCCGAAAGTCACAAGCGACGGCAGGAGAGTGAGGAGTGGGTTGGCATGGGTGCTGGTCATGGCTTGGATCAGTGCATTCTTTTCTTTGGGTTGACTTTAAAACAAAACAGGCCTTATTCACGAGTTGGCTATATTTGTCCAGTTCCCTGAATGTATTTCATTAATTGCTAAAGTGTTGAATGGGATGACTATTTATGCAGGCACAATGCAGTCTTATTTTACTGTCATTTTTTTTTAATATATATGTGGCTTTAAACATTAGGCAATGTTTAATTATTTACAAATTTTTAATTAAAGTTACTTTCATTTCTCTTCCCAAGTTCCAAAAATTAAGATTTTACCTAACTTTCAATTCAATTTGGCCGACTCGTGAATAAGGACCATGTTGCAATCAGCACTGATCAAATTCAAGGAGGTTTTTATTTAAAGACAACTCATCTTTACAAAAGGTATACTTTTTAAGTACATAAGGAACATTTGCCCAGAAAGGTATATGCACCAGTTGGTCTCATTCAAAGAGAGAATCCTTGCTAAAAGTGAAGATAGGCCTGGTATTAAATACCCTGTGGAGTTAGTCAGCCTGCAATGGTATCATTCAGAAGAAAACACTCATTGCAGGTGGTTTAAGAAAATGTGCCCATGGGCACATTTTTTTTACGTGCATTAGCAACGGAATCTAGTTACAAGATCCAAAAAACTTTGCATACATTTTCTGAGCTCAAACTTAAACGAGTTAGAAATGCACCCTTTTCATTAATTCATTCAAACAAACATTTATTTCAATATTGCTGACAAAAAATGCCCAGTGAGTCTATTTAAAATAGGCCTAACATTAATGAGAAACTGAGAAAGGAACAGGAAATGTTTATATAACCAAAAAATAATGTAAATAATCCACAAAAACTACGACTTCTAATTCTTAAAAATTTGAGCTATTTTGTTGCTCAAAAACAAAAATTCACAAAAGCAAATGATCCTGTGTACCTTTGGTATGCATTTTCTGCAATTTTCAGAATTGGACGGATTCTGCGACTAGAATTTTAGGCGTGCGTACATTGTAGCAAAATATTGTTTAACACTGACCTGGAACTTAAAGTTTTGTGTTCATTGATGCATGAAAAACCAAGAAAAAATGCTGTTCTTGTCTGGTTTCCTGACCCCACTTCAGATAAAACGTAGCAATAATTAAACAGCGGGGAATTGTCAGGGCAGTAAACCAGACTAGCTGGTTTGCATCCGCAAACAAAATGTGTAAAGCTAACTTAATTTGGTAAATTGGAAGTAGTATTTGAAAAAAGGTAATTTTATTTTTCCAACGATACAAAATTCTACTTTGACAGCACAGCACAAAATGACAGAAATGACAGCATAGCAGGTGCCATAATTTTTCAGGATGCTTGAGACTATCATTTACTGACAGTCCAGTAAGATGTAAATATTAATTTAGTAGATGTTTGCAAATATCGTACCTTTAAATGCATAACTTGCAGTTTTGTAAATTCACTTTTAATTAATCAACTGTTTTGAAAACATTTGACGAAAATGACTGTGCACAATTAATGTTAACATACATGTAGCTGTCACAAAAATAAGACACTCACAAAACAGTTTTTTTTACTAATGTATTAATTGGTGCAGTTAATTGTCCAATATGTCCGAATGTCATTTCATCATGGACTTTTTGTTTTTTCTAATTTTTTTAAAGTTGATATAAAAAAACATAGTTAGGCCGAATAAAAAAAAAACATGTTTCTCGTCCGGGGTTTTTTAAAAAAGGGAGGAAGCGGGGCTTTTTATTTTTAATTTTTTTTCAAGATGGCCGCCATTTTAAAATTTCATGCAACCGTTGGTGTTCCACTGTTCGAAGACACTTTTAAAAATGAAAGACAAGTTGGACAAGAGAACTGAACATATTTACAGTGTCATTATAGTTGTATTGGTATTGGTATTTATTTTCCGATGAAAATTGAAAGTGTGGACTTTTTCTGTGTTTTTTACTACATTTAAAAAAAAAAATAAAAATTCAAATCCAGGCGGCCTCCAAAAAGGAAGCGGGCAGGGACGAGAAACATGTTTTTTTTTTTTACTTTGCCTTATGAAGAGGTTTTTACTACAAAAAGTGTGTATGATACATGTACATGTACATTGTGTAGGCCTACTGTTGGCAAAGAACACAATAAGAAATTTTAAAATTGTTTTTAAAAAACCCTACATTTTCATGGATCCCTTGTTTCTTTCCAAATTTCAGTAACTACTCATTGTTTCATATAAAATGTATTGTTTGTCAGTGTATCACACATGATGTATCCGGTAGGGTATGTTTTGGCATATTTAGTAGACTAACGTTTCTTAAAAACTTTCACTAGTGGTTGAGAGATCGTACCGGTACAAGAAACAGCCGTCGCATCGCAACTGGAGCGCCTGTTGAGCGACGAGATCGATTTGCATGTAAGCGCGACGTCACAGCTTTGGGGTCATCGCTTCGTACATTAAAAATGACCCTCCAGGGTTTTGTTGTTGGGGTGCCTTCAGCAAGGTGATTAAAATATAGCGCACGGCGGTGTCACAATGGCCGCCTATTTCTTCCTCCATGCTTTATGCATGCATGAAGCAATAATCATTAATATTATAATGCTGTGATTACTGGGGTAAATTTTGGTGGATTGCTTTATTGGGGAAATTGACAGTATAAAAATATGCAATTCTGCTAAAAATATTAATATAGTAATCTTTCAACTGTTTCTGAATATTTTCCAACCTTGAACTAAATTTGCATTAAACATATTAAAATTAGCTTATTTTGTTTTTGCTATTTTGCCCTAGACTTCTAGTTCCTGAATATGTCTAGTCCAGAGTCTAACCATGGTTTGAGTATAATTAAGAACAAGATTTGATGGGTTTTTTGGTATTATTTTTGAATATCCATCTCTGCATAAGGCCAAACAAAGGGGACAAAATAAAGTTAGTTCCCACTGGAACCTACATGTACATATTGGAGAAAAGTTGTCTGTCATCAAATACATGTACTTCCATACTTTAAAGATATACTTTTGCTAAAAGTTAAAAACCCTTTTTGGGGGGCCGTATAATACTTTCAACACACAGTTGGGTGAATGTTAATGCAAGGTTTCCATGCATTTCTATTTACGGTCCCTGGATTGCCATCCTGCTTCAACCTCAAATATGACAGCTCCGAGGAAATTTACACATGTATACCAGCTATTAACCCTAACCCCCTAGGCCCTTGTTGCTTACAACCATCCTTAATTAACCCTAACTCCCTAGGCCTTTTTGCTAGGATGTAGCCTCAATCCTGCAAAATTCTCCAATTGGCCTCATGGAAAAATAGCAAATAGCCTCAATCCTGCAATTTCCTCTGCTATTTCTTGAATATGGTCCATGGAGGGGTGACCACTGCCTGAATCCTGCAAAATCCTCCGGCTATGACTGTCAATAGGTTGAGGCAGAGGCAGTGACATCCTGGAGCAGTGCGGAGGATGTCAAGTATAATCAAGGGCTAAATTTATGCACGGCTGAGCATAAACAACACAAGGTCCGGCCCAAGACCTTGACACAGTGCGTACTCCGAAATCAGCAACCCACTTTTGCCATGTAACCTCAATCCTGCAAATTCCTCCAATTTGCAAAAAGGATTTTGAAGGATTCAGGGCGGTTAGGGTTAATCCTCCAAAATCCTCCAAAATTTTTCAACTTTGTCAGACAGTCCTGCCTCAAAATGCATTCATCCTCAATCCTCCAAAATCCTCCTCATCCCAAAACTTTGCACTCGTGTTTAAATGAAGGATAACCAATGCCAAATCCTTCAAAATCATCAGACAGTCCTGCCTCAAAATGCATTCATCCTCAATCCTCCAAAATCCTCTTGTGCTTCATTCACCATTCATCCTCAATCCTCCAAAATCCTCATGTGCTTCAATCACCATTCATCCTCAATCCTCCAGAATCCTCATTTGATTCAATCACCATTCATCCTCAATCCTCTAGAATCCTCCAAAACCGCCAGGAGGATTTTGGAGGAGTGAGGTGGGTTAGGGTTAATTAAAGGACTACCATAAAGGGGACCTGAGAATACTAATTTAAGAATATGATCTCATCTAAATGAACTTGAAAATGTTTTCCAAGCCTTTCTCAAATATTTTTGATCTCATCTAAATGAACTTGAAAATGTTTTCCAAGCCTTTCTCAAATATTTTGAGGTGAAGCGTAACACCCAATGACTGTTTCATGCACAATCGGTTGCGGTTCCAGTACCAAAGCTGTGATGCGAGTGGTAAACCTCATATTAGTGCATGAAACAGTCATCGGGTGTTACGCTTCCGCGTGACGTCATGCGCCAACAGCCAGCGCAGCCGGCAAAAACGAGTAGTTGACAGCGCTCTGTGCCTGATAATCGACCGCCATTCATTGTACACAATTTTTTTTGTGCACAAACCAATTGCGGTCCTGGCCATGCCAGCAAGGTTGTCAGGTTAGCGGTTATTCCTCCTGTTTTCACTGCAATTGTAGGCTGAATCTTCATCGTGGATCGTTTTTTACTTCAAGGACCTGTGTAATGGTTATTCCAGGCAAGTTTGGGGTGAGTTGCAGTTGCAATTAGTGTGTAACGGGGACAAAATTGAACATTTTCCAATTTTTTTTTCCTATACTATCGTTTACGAGAAAAACTAGCTCCAGCCCTAATAGACAACCCAATGATAAAACTCAGGGCTGGGTAACTCCAGCTAGGCCTAGATTAGACCCGTGAACGTGGCTTGTAAACTACGCCACGTTCTTATGTCATTTCGAACCTGGCGAACGTGTCCCTCTGACTCCCTCCGTTACACACACTGGACGTTATTTTGCCCATGTAATAAGTACTCACATATGAAGCTGTCTTGAATTCTATTTGTACGTCAAAACTTGCATTTGACGAAAATTGAGGAAAATTCTGGCCCCGGTTCATGAAGTCCGTCCGCTACTGCATGCTAGCTGCCATTTTCTCCCAACTGACGCATGCGCATTGCGTTTTATTTTCGTATGATTCGACGGCTGTTTACTGTCGCAGCTAAAACAGACATCGTTTTAGACAAGTTTCAAGTCCTTTCCTCTCTCACCGCACCGCACGCGGTCGCACGTGCGCCCGCGTGTG